CATTTATTATGTGGCCCGTGTGGCCGCCATAATCTTCTGCACCCCTATTGAGGTAGTAGCTGAGCTGCCACAGCCCCGCCTCCCTCCTGGCCTGGCCACTCTGCAGCTGAGCAGGGAGACTTGTCCTCCCACTCCCTTGCTGGAGTGGCTGGGCATGCAGGGAGGCAGGGCTGTGGCAGCCGAGCTACTGCCACGATTGGGGCGCAGGAGATTATGCTGGCCAATCAATCAGCCCTAAATAATGTTAGATCTTGGACTAGGACGTGTAGGAAGCCCTTGCTAGAGAAGCTGTGTGTTTTAATGGACAGTTACAGTTACACATGGGACACTACTCTGTCGCACCCGAAGTGGGTAGAATGGAAAAGCCCTGTTTGTACACAGACCCAACTTTCTATATATCAACTGATGAATCACCTGAGGTTGTAAGCAAAATAGCAGAGAATTGCACACACAGCTGAACAGCAACCATTCATAAAGACTCCCTAAGTTCAAAACGTAATGTTGAATCAGTTTAATGATGACGAACGCCAAAGTCCCAATTATTTGGGGACCAGATGGAATTAAATTGGTGCCTTTTCCGTTTGATGGGAATAATGCATTTTCATTTGATTCGAAGAATACTAAGGCCCGGTACAGCTTAGCCAGGAATTTAAAATCTCTTTCTGTGTTTCCTTCATCCCACACCATCCCTCTTAATCATCCAACATCAACATGTACAATTCATCTTTTTCTCTTCCACCCCTGGAGGCTTCTGCTATATTATTTTTCACTCCAATCTTATTCAGTATGAAACACAGAATGTGCCAAATATATGGTATCCTATCATTTATTTTAAATGTCACTGGAACTGCCTAATTTTAAAAGATTTTCTTTTATTTTAAAAATCTATCCTGTACTAAATATGTCAGCTGAATTCTCTCCCCAATGACCACACATATACAACATTTACTGTGCCTACGTTAGTGATAGGATGGAAATAGGACAGATCTAAAAATGGGATCATTTTAGAAACCAACAATAAGCCTTGCAGTCAAGAGAGAAGATGAGAAGTCCTCTTATGTGTGGATAACTGACTAAAGAAAATAAAGTCGAAAGCACAAATAAATTATCAATTTTTGCAATGGAGGGATGGAAACAATGGGGTCGATGAAGGAATTGTATTGGAATAGTTGCATATATGATCATATCTGAGAGGTGATCTGTGAAGGGGTTAGGCTTAATGACACTGTTCTTATCTTTGATGCCATATTGTCCTTATACAAATTTTAATGAGATCGCATTTCAAATACTGAATAGTGTGTGTAGTTTTAATCACTGCACCTGAAAAAAAGCATTGCAGGGCTGGAAAATGAGCAGAAATCGACCCATTTCCTTTTGATGAACAGCTACAAATTTGTGGCTTTTGAACTTTTCAAAAATGCAAATAAGTGGAGATGCGGTACAAGTGCGTAGAACTGTACATGATGGAGGGGGAGTCTCCTATTTTCCTCTCATAACACAAGCATCTGCCATCACCCACTGAAATAAGTGGATAGGAATGGTAGTTCTAAATTTTGGGAATTCAACAGTATAAGAATCCTATTCAGATATTCAAAATGGATTAAAATAACTGAGTGAAAAGCTAGAGTTCTTGGTTATATATAAAACCCAGTTGCAAGAAGTCTTTCGACTGCCATTTGCCATGTGTGGAGAATGGCGAGAGAGAGAACAATTTAAGTAGACTCCCCTCCTCATACATTTCCTTAAGTCTTTTCTTTAAATACCTGAATAGGGCAAAGATGTAACGATATATATGCCAACTTGGTTTGCTGTAGAAGCAGACTGGATCTATTCATGAAGAATATCCTACTGACTATATGTTACCTCCCGCATCAGAGGCAATATCCCTCTGTATTCTATTTGGCTGCCTTCATGTTCTCTGTCTGGGCTTCACCGAGCAACCTGGTTAGCCAATGTGGGATCCGAAGGCTGTGCTTAACAGCTCTGGGTCTGAGCCAATACTGTATGGCTCTTCTTTTGTTCCCATCTTTTTCAGAAGCAAGATAAACTGGCTGCTATTAGAGACACAGAGTTAAAAGGTACAATTTATGGATTTTTTCCCCTAACTCTCTGGGAGGAATGTACAGAGGAACTTGCATAGGTTTCTCCTTTTACCAACAGAATAAAGGGAGGGAGAAATTATTAATATAAAGTCTGTCCTTTCTACCAGCAACATCTGCAAGTTTGTGCAAAGCAGTATGTTCCAGGGGATATGTTCCAGAGGAGAGCAAACACCAGGATTGTCTACTTTTTCCACAAGTCACTCAATTCAGTTGTGGATTACTAACATATTTTTCACCTGCTCATAGCTCGTCCTACTATATGCACTCTGCAACCAGGAATTACACCATAGTCAGTGCCTTCATACATTTTTTGATCTCCAGTCAGTGAGTGGTACAACATAAGAAGTTGTGGCAAGGTACGTTTGTGCTGCTTGGTACATTGTACAGTATTTAAACATTTATAACTAATGCCAAAAAAGCCAATGTGGTGTAGTGGGTAGGATGTCAAATTAGGACTCAGAATCCTGGGTTCAAATACCCATTTGGTGATGGCAATAGTAAGCTATTTCTTGAAGCGGCTAAAAATATTGTAAATAAAATAAAAAATAAATAAATAAGAGGGAAGCAATATGAAAGCACATAGCAATGCGTAGCTATGTTTAAGAGATCAATTATGTTCCCCATTATATGTACCTAGAAGTAAGGCCCATGGGGCACACGCAGACGAAGTTTTGCACAGAACTGTGTATCTAAGAGGCAAAAAAACTATAAAAATGTTAACAAACAAAACTGCGATAATCAAATGTGATGTTTTCTTTTCTGCTTTTTGTGCCAGAAACATCCCTAAAGTTTTATAAACATGGAGATGATGGAGAAAACAGTCTGGGGACTGCAGCATCTGTCACAAATATTTGGAACTTTTGCTATCCTTGCTATTTTTGCCATTTTGACCCATTTGACATTTTGATCCCCATGGGAGGAAACAATCCCCTACCTTCCAGCTGTTACTGGAGTTAAAATCCAGTAACTCTCTATCTGTTGTATCCAGGATTGCAAGTGGACAGGAATGATGGAAGTTTGGAATACAAATATACAAATACTGTATATCTGGAATGCTGTACATTTTCTACTCCTGTTTTAAATTTATTGCTGATGCCATTTTTGCAGGAACATAGGAAGATGCTTTATAACAAGTCTAATAGTACATCTATCTAGTTCAATACTGTCCATTCTGACGCTGAGTGGTGTCACACAGATTTTTTTCATAGCACCTGCAGATACCTGATGCTTTAAAAAAACAAGAAGAAGAAGAAGAAGAAGAAGAAGAAGAAGAAGAAGAAGAAGAAGAAGAAGAAAAAAAAAAAAAAGAAAAAAGAGAAAAAAAAAAAATGGGGGGGGGGGGGAGAGAGGTTGGAGTCTTTTAAACCAAAATACATTTTAAACCAAACCAAGCACCTTTTGAATAAAACACATTTTAAACCAAGCACCTTTTAAACAAAACACATTTTAAACCAATCACATTTTGAACCAATCACATTTTAAACCAAACCAAGCACTTTTTAAACAAAACACATTTAAAACCAAACCGTGCACCTTTTAAACCAAGCACCTTTTAAACCAAACCAAGCACTTTTTAAACAAAACACTTTTTAAACTAAACATTATTTAAAAACAAACACATTTGAAACCCACCCACCAACACATTGTTCCAGCAAACACCTCCTCAGCACAAGAAGAGAGCAGAGAGAGAGAGAAAGAAAGACAATTGGGGGGGAGACTTGAGTCTAAACCCCATTTTACACCATAAAACAAAAAGACTTTGGAGTCACATTTTAAACCCACACATTTTAAAACAAAAGAGAGGTCACAGTACATAAACCCCAGAAGCCACAGAATGCAAAAATAAATAAATAAATTTTACATTTTAAAATTACAGTCTAATTTTCACATTTAATTTTAATTTAATATTACAGTCTACTTTTCACATTTTAAATCCACACTGCAAGACCCATCAGAGCACAGACACATAACCCCCAGTTCAAAGCCATGCTGCAAAAACACCCAGAACAGTTTTTAAAAAGCAGAAAACAGCACCTTACATCCCTGCAAACACACACGTGTTCACTCCAAAGCAGAAGGAGGGAGTTACGAAGCCTTAGACGACGATGCACACCCTCTAACTGCTGGGGCGAAAGAGCTGCAAAGAAGCATCCTTGTTGCCACCTACAGTTAGAAATTTGAATTTCCCGCCTTTTCCCCCTCCCCTTTTCTGTACATAAGTGGAAGCTCCGGTTGCAAGTAGAAGCAAATGTTTGCGACCTGAGCTGGTCGTAACTCGAAATGGTCATAAGTAGGGGCATTTGTAAGTCGAGGCACCACTGTAAATGCTGAACAATAATCCTCCTGATTCCTTGAGTAAGAATAAGTCTGACATCCTCATCCTGCCCTGTTAATCACTGCAGGATGCTGTAGTCAATTTCAGACTCTTATATTAGTCAATTTCAGATGCATGCCTTAGTCAATATAGAAGTCAGAAGTTGACAAGATGTGTTTATGCAGATTTTTTGCGGGAATGGCATCAATTTCTGTGCAGTATCTAGGTAATTATGCAAGATATCATGTGGAGAAACTGAGGACATTTTGCTGGCAAGCTAATCCCAGGGGAAGGGATTTAGAAAGGCAAACATTTCCTTAGACAGCGGTGGGATTGAGAAACATTAAGATTCACAACCCTACTGGAATGCCATACCAGTACAGTACATTCATCAGTTCCCAAATGCACAGATAAAAATATATCTTCCCTATTTGTCTTATACTGAACTACAGTTTTTGGGTAGTACACAATGTTGTTTAATATTGCTTACAAGGGCATCCCTTAAGTTGTTTTGCAAAACTTTCATTTTGTTCTTTCCACAAATAACAATAGTTACCAATGTTAACAGTTTGGTTCACCATTACCTTCAAATCAGACACGTCCCTGTAGCATTGTTCTGAGCGAGTGTGGTCTGATAATTGCACATTCCAGAAACAGGGAAGCTGGTACACAAGGAAGGGATTCTGTTTGATGACTGCATTGAAAATATCCTGCATACAAAGAGAGAAGAGAATTGTTACTTTTGCAGAAAAGTCATTGCATTGTCTGAATTGTCTTTATCCTTCATTGATGCAATATCCGCAGCAGGAACAACTACAAAACTACTGTGGAGAAAACAATGAGCCAGCAAATGTCTTATCAGACCTGCAAACCTAACTTCAGAGCTTGATAACTGACTTGTGAGTTTGAACTGGGCTTTTCAAAGAACTCACATTTGATAGCTAAGTATTCAAGAAATGCTGTGAATATAAAACAATGTAGCATATCTTCTCTCTTGTACTGCTATGAACATATGCCTACTTACAGGAATGCTTCTATTTATTTGCATGAATTGAAAATTCCTATACTATACCTTCTTCACCAAGGCTCACCATGCATCCCAATGTTTCATCTATTTATTTTATACATTCTGGCAGGAAGTGCCAGGGAATGCTGGGCACTTGGAGTCTAGAGACCCAGGTAGAGGGCGACCCCGGGTACTCCGGGTAGATGGCCGAGAGGGTGCTGCACAGTTCAACAGCATCCTCTTGGGGTAGGAACTCCCAGGGGCAAAGATCTGGATGGGTTGGTCAAGAATGATGAGGGTTCCAGACCTGTTAGCACTATGGCTGGCCCCTTTGTAAAAAGGGGTAGTTAAAAGTTAAATAGTTAATAAAGTTGTGGTCCTAGTTTTAACCCATATTATTGTGTCTCATCTCATTATTTCAGGTTGGGTGGGCAAAGCCTGGATCTAAGTTGTACATGGCTTTCTAGTTCATGCCCGGCATTCAGAGTAGCGTCTAGAAACAGAGTTGTAGCCATTGAAAATAATGCATCAATGATACCATTTAAAATAAGAAGACAGTACCTTGAGTGGTGCTCAAAAATTAAAAGGGAACCAATCTAATGTCTTTAAAAGTTCTTAAAAACAATAATTTTTTTTTAAAAAGGTGGTGTAACATGGTGATGTCTAGGAAATTTCTCAGAATCCAAGCAGGTGAATCCTGAACCAGTTTAAACCTGCAAAAAAATGTTTTGAAGCAATCCTATGCACTATCAAGGAGCAGTCAGAAATGTCTTATTCTTTCACACTAGGTGGTGTCTTTCTAGTTTATTCAGAGTGACAACATGGTTGTTTGGAAGAAATGATGGCAAAAGTAGAAAATAACTGGGTTGATATTTTGTTCACCTCCTGTCCTGCTGCTTTTACAAATTGTTTTGGTGCCATCATGTTTTCGTTCAGTGAGTGTTTTTAAGAGTTTGTTTGTTTTTGGTACTGGTTTTAACCTGTTGTTAAACTGCCCAGAATAATGCTTTAGCACAAATGGGGGGGGGGGAGATACACATAAAATAAAATAGAATAAACTTGTCAGGAAATACAGTATTAGGAAAACAAGGGATACATGAAGGAGAATGCAAGTGTGATTAGAACTTGTCGTGAAGTTAAAAACACCCAAGTTGCTTTCATCTACCATTCACAAATGAGTGTGAGATTACAACTGGACTCCCATATCGTCAATCCATTGGTTCCAAGCTGATATCATGGGTGCCTAAACGGCTTAGGACCTCGATACTTGGCGGAACGCCTGCTCCCACCTACATCTACCTGGATCTCCCGCACGAGC